AGATGCTTTTTCCTCTGCAGAGCTGAAAACTTTGTTTGAGCTCAAGGGGTAGAAAGCAGAGAAATAAGCCTTTTTTTAAAATTAGAATATCAGTTACTTTCAATATATGTTTAAGAAAGGTTCCCTGAAACTTTAACTTAACAATGTAAAACAACTATACTTCAATTAAAAAAGGCGCCTCAAAGAAAACCCTAACAGCACAGTTCTGGCACCTAAACAATCCACCAATTTCAGATTATTAAACAAATGCAGTCATTTTATTAACACTATGGTAAACCAGACACTAGAAATCACAGTAATCCTAAGAATAACCTAAGAATAATACGGCCTATAAGGGCTGGTCCATTCACCATGACACAATGGTGCACTACAGACCAGAAAACCTGCAGTACAGACACCATACAGTTGCTCAGAATATTAAATGTTCTAGAAAAAGTAAGTATTTCTAAATTCAGATAGTAAGAGAAAAACACTAAAAAACACCTTGGTTTTCAACAGCTTTAAAAGGAATCATGAAAAAAAATAAAAGGAATCATGAAGGACATGTAAAATAAAACAAAGATCTTATTTCCACTAACTACAGACAAATCACTGAACCTCTGAACCTCGGTTCCCACAGGTGCTGGGGTGCAGACACAGACATAGTAATACAGAGCGACTGTTACTCCCAGGACCCTCAGCGAGACTCAAGGCTCTCCGCTCCCCACCTACAGTACAGCATTCATGGATCTCAGCATCCTGCAACCTCACTGGGCACTCCAAGGGCTCTCACTTAAGTGAAAATATGCACTAGATAGTTGGTAAAATTGCCGGGGATCTTTCCATATTTGTACACTGGCAAGTTCTGAATCCTCCCATTCTCTTCTAGCACATAATTATACTTTGCTTCCCACAACAGAGTGAAGTGGAAGTTGCTCAGTTGTGTCTGACTCTTCGCGATCCCATGGACTACACATACAGTCCATGTAATTCTCCAGGCCAGAATACTGGAGTAGGTAGCCATTCCCTTCTCCAGGGGATCTTCCCAACCCAGGGATAGAACCCAGGTTGCCCACATTGCAGGTGGATTCTTTAGCCGCTGAGCCACAAGAGAAGCCCAAGAATACTGGAGTGGGTAGCCTATCCCTTCTCCAGCAGATCTTCCCAACCCAGGAATTGAACTGGGGTCTCCTGTACTGCAGGTAGATTCTTTACCAACTGAGCTATCAGGGAAGCCCCTTTCAGGCATGAGTCCATACGCAAATTAAACATCAATAGGAAAATGGTTAGCAAATTTATACTGATTTATGGCAACGCTTTATGCTGGTGGAGGGTAAAGTAGACTCAAGGGTGACAGCAATGTAAGAATTAGGCCTGCATGGTTGGGGAGATGTTTCGGTGGTGATGGTGAAGCTTCTGTCTGTCTTGTGCTGTTCTGACTTGAGTCAGTATGAAATGAAAGGAGTAGATTTCTTACCTGTACTACAGTTGTACATGGGGTCACATGTACAGTAGTACATGGGGTCACAGAGAGTCGGACACAACTGGGGGACTTTCACTTTCACGACTGGAAGAGTGTAGGTGACCTGGAGCCATAAGGGTTCATGAGAGCCCCTACTCACTGTGCTGCGATTGTGTCTCATCCCCACATCCCAGCACTTGGCTTTGCTCAGCAGTGAGGCAACTTCGGAGGCAACAAGCATATGTCTTCAAGACCGTGGCTTCAAGTTTCATTTTCCTTATAGATTGCCCATAAAAATCCATATGAGCCTGGTCCAGGGGATAACTCTACTCTCAACTGTCCCCTGCCCTCCTTTCCCTGGAGGATCGGCTGTTCCTCAGTAACAACTGGTGTCTGGGGAAGGAACCTGATTGGTTCAAAGCCATCAAAAAGAACAAGAAAACCATCCATCCATCTATCTAGTCAGCAGCTGTGTGTGATAAAATAAGAATACGCTTTAGACAACTTAGGGCACCAAGTTGTGTATCAAGATCATGACCACAGGTTACCTAGGATATAAGTCATCACCTCTAGTGATAAAAGTTCCTTTCCTGGAGCAACTCAGTCTGGAAAGAATTCATGCTAAGTCACAGGCCATCCTGATTTAACTATTCGTATTTCTCTTCTGGTATTTAACCTTGCACACTACACCCCATCCATCATGAACAGGTGGCATGGCCCAGGAAGGCGCCCAGGAAGGCCCCCAGGATCAGCCCTGGGTCCCTACAAAGCAGGTCCGAGGGGCAGCTCACTGCTGTGCCCAGGGATGGGAGGCGGCACTCTGGGGAACAGGACTCTCCAGCAGGGTAAAAACAGACCAATGGTGCCCCAGGCACCAGAGCAGCGCAGCAGATGTGAAAACAGACCAACAGTGTACCTGACACGGGCAGCGCGGGTATGAACACCAAGAAGCAGAACCAATCAGGCACAGCAGTGCAAGGAAGCTGCATTTCCTATAGCATAAGAAACAAAAGGGCCTGTCCTAACCCCAGGGAGCAGGGAATGAATCCTTGCCGAAGTGACACTTGAACTGAGCTTTAAGAGGTGCGCAGGTAGAGGCAGAGGACACAAGCATGTGCCAACAGTGTGACATGGGATGCAGACTGGGGAGTTGGAGGGAGGACAGGCAGCTGCATGTGAAGCCCTTCTGATGGAGACAAGTCCACACTCCCAGTGGAGCCATCCTTCTCTAGTGGAACAAAGACGGTCGATAAACTCACCCCAACCTAGAGAGGTTCCTCTCTGAGGAGGCTGTCCACGTGGACCCCAAGGCAGATTCCCAGAGACCAGGAGGGAAACAGACCTGCCCTCTGGTCCCAGCAGCCAAACTCACCAAGGTTTTCACAACAGTGCAGTCACAGTAGGTCCCTCTAACAGAGCACAAGCCACCTGCCGCTGGAGGAAAGGCATGCTGGGCCTGGAGAAGACTGGATTCACACAAGTCACCCGCTGCTCAGAAACACTGGGTGCCAATCATGGAGAAAGTAATACTTAGCCAATACACACATCATGACAACAGAGGGACTACATCTGGTCAAGGAAGATTTCACTATTTACGGTAATGATGGAATTTTACTACTTCACATCACCATGACCTTGCCATGAAAGCAGTGAAGACTCACTTATAGAAGCTGACACCATCTTATTAGGATATCCCTGAACAGAGTTGTAGAGAGTGGATTCTGTCTTCTAATTTTACAAATTTTAGCAGGTTCAGAGACTAACAAAAGAATACATAGCTGAAAAACTCCAAGAGCATTAGTACCAAATAATTTCTCCTGAATAACATTTTCTCTTTGATGATGACTTTTAATATATTCTGACCCATTACTCGATTAAACACATAATTTCTTTTTTTCTTTCTAGCTCTGGACCCTTTTCCTCATCTAGTTTTAGGTGAGCACTCAACACCATGCTCCCTGAAGTCAATATACCTTTGACTGGGTTCCCCGGTCACTCACTTCTGGGAAGAAAACCAGGGAAAACCTGCTTCCCCAGCACTCTTCCCTGGGATGGGGTAATGCACGGGAGCTCAGACTCAGGGTGCATCTCTTGCTCAAAGCTGCATAAGCCATCCTAATCCACAATCATGTGTCCTAAACAAATTCCCAAAGTTTTGGGATCTTTGAAATATCCCACAGATCCCAAAGATCTTTGAAATATCTTTAGAGTACTTTCTAGAGAAGTCTTTTTCTCTGATAAATAAAAATAACATAAAACAAGGGGAAAAGGTAAAGTTCATCAAAACGCAAACTCTCTTTAGAAAAGTGTAAAGCACGATAAGGGTAACTGAAAAGGAAAACAAGATGTTTCTCATGAAGATCCTACACCAGAAACGTCATTTCTAAGGCTGACCTAGTCAAGAAAGAACCCTCTGATGCAGAGCCGCGCACTCTCCTTACTTCTCCCCAGAGGCAGTTGTGTACAGAGAGTGACTGTTCACCCAGGGCAACTTCTCAGCATACAAATCAGCATAAGTGTACAACTACCCGGGCATCCAGCTTCCTGACCCCAGCATCTTCAGTGAACCTGCTTTCTCGTTCCCGGTTGGGGATGGTATGGCAGGAGGCCCAGGGAGCAGCGATCCCCAGCAACACTCTCAGCCTCACACATCCATAGGTGTGGGAGGCAAACAGAAACTGTGACAGGGCCCGGCAGCTAAGGCCCAAGTCTGCCACCTGTCCATCAATGCTCCTCTTTTGCCCACAAGGACATGTCTCATGCCTGTTAACAAGCTGGCCTAGAGAGGAGAGCAGAGGCACAGAGGGGAGACCAGGCTGTGTGTCCTCGTCTAAGATCCTGGGGATCAACTGTGACACACAGCTTATTATCTGTACATGATTCTCAAACAAGGTCTTTTATTTGAGTTTATGCTTATTCCTTATTGTACTAAAAGGTGCACTGAACTCATCTTTCTGGGCTTCTTATATTCAAAATATTGTTCACTTAAATAATTTTGACCTCTGAATAGAATCATGACTCTGATGAACCAGTTCAGTTTTTCAATTTCAAAACTCCGTGACTGTCCTCTGGAGTCTGCCCTCTGGAGACTGCCCTAATGGAGCTACAGACCTCACTCCCTGAAACAGATCTCAAGGGCCAGGGTACACTAGAGCTCATCCTCACCCAAGTCTCTGACAATGAGACAAGGTCAGTGAAGATCAACAATTTTAAGAAAAACTGTATGATCTATCATGGATTCTTCTTTCCTAAGTGTTTTGTAAGTGGTGCTCCAGCTGCGAAAATATGGTTGCAAAAACTGAGTATTATATTTTAATAGAAAACACTCAGACCTGGGCCCTGAATCAGCAGGATAATCATGGTCCACGGCCTGTGACAAGCTCTGTGCCTGAGGAGCTCGGTAAGTTGAATGAGCTGAAATGGAGGACGGGGCTGAGAAACATGACCTCCTAGGTTCCCCCAAGGCTGAGCCCTACACTTCTATTTAGAATGGCATCAGGCAAACAGTCCATTGCAAACGTGCCCTGCCATGGGATCTCTCTCAGTTAAGTGCGCTCACCGAAACGAAAGTAAAACAGTGGCCGGTTTCCTGCGGTGCTGGCCGCCCGCTCTCTGACCGCGGCGTCTCGGATGTCACACACCCCGATGTTGCCAGCCTGCAGCATTCTTCTCGGGGCTCCTTCACTGTGCTGCAGTCTACACCGGACCACGGCAGCTCCATTCGCTGCTGTAACAAGTTGAAAAAAAACTAATTAATTCAAACTTTAGTTTTTTTTAAATTTGTTACAGCGCCGAGCAGAGCTGCCGACCCCATGCAGAACAGCACAAAAAACACCAAGGGGACCATGTCACACAGGGCCACCCTCAGCGCCCAGCAATACAGGTCAGCCTCATCCTGGGACTGTAGAGGCTCCATCTCCCAGAGCCATCTCCTGGGCATACACAGAACTGCTTCTGTTTCACTTTTGTTTGGCAAGGCACAGAAAACAAAATCTAGCAACACAAGGACCTACCGCCTCCCCACCAGCCTTCCTCCAAAACCACGAAGATAGGAAGTCATCCCAGCAGTTCTGCTGGAGGATGAGAAGGAAAGCGGGGAGACCTGCTTTCTAGCAGCATCTAGTTGTCTGCCCCCGTGTGTTCTCTAAAGCTCTCACACACAGGGTCACCCGGACAACACACTGCTCTTACATCCACTCAGACAGCGCACAGCTCCTTCCTTTTACAGACCAGAGAGCAAGAAAACTCAGGTCGCCAGCTAAGGCAGCCCTGCACAGCCAGCCAATCTTTACATTAACCTTCTTAAGCTCCAAGGAAAGAAAGAAACCACACAAAATCAAACAAGGCTAAAAAAACAGCACACTCAACACAAATGTCCTGGAAGGTGAGTCGCAGGTGAGGACACTCCTCCTCGCCCCCAACACTGGAGGCCATGTCACAGCCCAGAGAGCCAAAAGGCCTGCACATGTGGAATTGAAGCTCTTTAGCTGGAACATCTCAGCACGGCTTTATACCTGCTCCAACAGTGAACACTGTAGAGTCCATTTCTGTTGCTGTCCTACCTCCTGGAGGACTTGTGTTAGTACTAAGCCCTTCCTGATGCCCAGAAGATTCTCAAGGTTGCCCTCAGAACAGAGGTGTTACACCTGCAGCCCAGGGTCTCCCTCCTTTCCCTGAAACGTACAGAACCAGCTCAAGTGTAGAATCCTACGTACTTGCATGTGTGAAAACCACAGAATTAAACAGAACTTGCACTTGGTTGAGAATTCATAATGCAGACAATCATGTTTCAAAAAACAACCAACCAACCTTTACGATTTCAAAATCCCAGGCAGGATGTTACATCATTTTCTAGATTTGCCTCCCCAACCCCCACCAATGAAGTCAACAAAAACTGTTGATTAACTTAAACCATTATCAATAATTTTAACTAAGTCAAAATTCATGTTTAAACCACAAACGTTCTCTTATTTTTTATGATTAGAGTATTTTAAAGTAATCAAACATATTACTTTCCTCTGTGGATGAATACCTATTACAGTTATCTAGCACCTTCACAGAAAACTCCTATGTGTCTTCTGAATACACAAAATATGCTGCAGTCACACAAAGGAGTGGGATGGGGCTGGTGCCACCTCAAGGGCCTGATCCGCATGCAGTCTGGGGACTGGGGGAGGACTGGTGCTCAGCTGTTCTCTCAGGAGTTGTAGTTAACTCTTAAAACTGGACACCTTATGCTACTCAGCAAGGTTTACATACTCGGAGGCTGGGGCAGATAGGCTCCAATCAATTTCGATCTCTTCTTCTCATATCCTTTTTGTGTGATGTCACCTGTAAGAGAAGGAAAGGGAAGTTCAGAATGCTTTCACTGGTAGAGCCGAGCACTTAACTAAGAAGACACAGTCACACATGTAGGTGTCTTCTGTTTCCTTATAATTTAAGAAGAAAGCACTTTACATCATTCACCTTGACTTTTCTACTGCTTGCAAACACTCATTTAAGTTACATAAAATCCTTTACAGCACATGCACACACTAGTCTCCAGCCCCTTCTCACAAGGTTTTGGCTCTGATGGAGTCCAGAATTAAGATTATCTTAGTCACATCTGCAGGGCAGGAAACCTCCCTGATCTATACAGCGCTCATTAACTTAATCAACAACGGATTCTGCAGGTGTCTACCCCAGTGAGAGCTGGCCAAAACCACCAATAATGAGCATCTTCCTTTGTTAAGAAGATTTTTTTTTTTTAACTTATCAGACATGTCTGTTCCAAGGACTATACACTGCTAAGGTAGTTTTGAAAATAAGTGTCTAAAGCCAAAAAAAGGTAGATAAAAACAAATAAATAGGACATACGACCTATGGAATCCAAATACATGAATAAGATGTTCACAATATAAACAGGAACTAAACTGCTAAAGCCAGAGATTCAAGGATTGCTGCTAGGTTGCCAAGTGCGCGGGACGATAATGTTACGACAGGAGACAACCTTTCCCAATTGCAAGCTTGGACACACCCCACATGCTGATTTGTGCCACTGGAATTTTCTGAAGCTCTTAATTTTCCCCCTAATATTCTGACCATACCATCATTCCTAAAACAGCATTAAAGTTTTAACAAAAATACAGCAAACAAATGAAAAGCTGTTGTGAGTCACACACAAGATGCGAAGCCTGCTTTTCCGGGTGGTGATGCTTGCTACTTCCGATCAACCCAGAGGCACCCTGGGCCAAGAACCGCCTGGGCCACCACTGCTCCCAGCAGCCCACTCCGGCCCACAGAACTCACGACTAGTCTGTGTACACAGAGCTGTAAACAACACAGATATAGGAAGAACTATCCCTCATTGACTATTGAGCAATTTTGATGCTAAAACAAACCGACCACTCTTTGAAGACAATAAACCTGTAAGAATGCTAGTTTCTGTGCTAACTGTGCTGCTGCTCAGCATTTTATAAACTCAAAACCAGCTTGCTCCCTCCAGCAGAGAGAATGCCCAGAGGAAAATGTAAGCATGTGGCAGGGGACAGAGCACTTGTGTGAGGGTGTTGATGGGAAAATCACATACTGGCCTGCCAGAAGGTCACCTGAGCATGGCAGGTACCTATTCTTTACCTGGTGTTTCCCTCAGTCCCTCTCCTCCCAGCCAATCTCACAGGTGCTCTGCACAGTCCTGCCATCGAGTCCTAACCTGGTGAACTAGCCCCTTCCGGCTTGTTCTTCACCCAGAGTTCAGCTCAGTTGTGAGGAGGAGATCAAGATGGCAGAGTAGGAAGATGTAGAGCTCATCTCCCACCATGAAAATTCTAAAATAGATCTCCACGTGGAGCAATTCTCACTGAAAACTAACCAGAGACTGGCAGAAAGACTGCAGTACAACTGATGTTGTAAGATCAATCCACATGGAACAGGGTAGGAAGGGAAAAGAAGTGATCAGATGAGGACCTGTGTACCAGGGAACAACTCCATAGAACGGGAAGGTCACAGGGATGGAGCTCTGCCCTGAGGAGCAGGCAGTTCAGCCACAGATCGGTGCCCTGGTCCTGGGGTCTGTCAGGAAGATGAACACCCTGGCTGGCTGGAGGGCCTGTGGACTAGCAGGAGGGCTGTGGGAAGCCTGGGCTCCATGGTGAGCAGCACAGCTGGCAACTGAAGGCTGCTCTAGCCACTGCCCATTTTTCACAGCCTGAGCCCAGTCCCACCTCCTTCTCAATGGGGAGAAGGTCTGGCTATGAGACTCAGAGTGGTGCAGACCCGAAGCAGTGACTGAGCAGGGTGGTGGTCACCACTGCTGGTGCTCACACAGGTGGTAAGTCAGCCCCAACCTCTGTCTGGGGCTGAACCCCTCAACTCTGCTGAGAGCCCACACAGGCACCTCCTGATTCAGCATTGCTGGGGTGAGGGGCCTGGTGCCGGGGTGGGGGAAACATACACTTAAAGGGAACAGAGGGGGCTCAGACCTAACCCTCAGGGCTTCTGCTCCAGCAACCTGGGACCCTGCCCACTCCACAGGGTGGTGACGTCACCAAGCAGAAGGGAGCAGAGGGGAAGCCCAGCTCACAACGGGGCTCCAGGCCTCGCCCTTCCACCTCCAGCCCCTCCTCCTACCAAGGCCAGAGCTGCCAGTACACCCTGGGAAGACATGACTTGTGCTCACAAGTAATGAAGCAAAAACAAACAGTTTAAAAGATAAAGAATTGAAAGCATTAGCAATAAGAATCCTAACTAAACTTGGGAAAGAAACAAACGAACACAGTCAGAATTTTAACAAGAAACTAGAAAATATTTTTTTAAAAAAAGAATCAGTCAGAAATGAAGAATACAGTAAGTGAAGTGAGAAACACTCTAGAAGGAAAGAAAAGAAGATTAGGTGATACAGAGGAACACGTTAAGTGATCTGGAAGACAGAAGAATGCAAATCATACATTATAAGAACAGTAAAAAGAAAGGCAAATTAAAAATGAGAACAGTTTAAATGGCCTCTGGGACAACATCAAGCATATTAACCACCAGGTTACAGAGGTTCCAGAAGAAGAGACAGAGAAGAGGGTAATATGTATCTGATGAAATTATGGCTGGAAACTTCCCAAAACTGAAAAAGGAAACATATCCAGGAAGAAGAAGCATGGAGGGTCCCATCCAAAATGAGATGAACTCAGAGACCCACACCAAGACAAGTCATAATCAACAAGGCAAAAGTTACAGATAAAGAGGATTCCAAAGGCAGCAAGAGGAAAACATGAGTCCCATTCGAGGGAACCCCCATACAGCTATCAGCTAACTTTTCAGCAGAAACTCTGCAGGCTAGAAGGGAGTAGCATGATACATATCAAGTGCTGAAAGGTAAAAACTCTTGCAACTTACAACACTCTACCTAGCAAGATTATCATTCAGAATCGAATAAAAGATTTTTTAAAAAAAAAGATTTAAAAAAAGATTTAAAAAAAAACACACACACAAAAACATCTCAGAGAAGCAAAAACTCAGAGTTCATCAATACTGAACCTACCCTAAAAAAATGTTAAAGGATCTTCTCTTAGTGGAAGAAAAAAGGCTACACAAGAATGATCTGTAGGGAAAAGAAAAATCCCACTAGTAAAGGCAGACACATACTTGATCCTCAGCCACTTAAACAATCTAGGAGAAATAATCAAATCAAAGTTCAGCTCAAGTTCTAAACATTTCCCAGATGAACATTTAAGTACGTGGGGGACGGGAGGCGGGGAGAGGGGCAGAGGTCCCCTCCCTTGAAGCCAACCTTAGAGGACACCTTAGAGGACACTGACTCTTCACCCTCACTCTGGAAAGCTCCAGATGTTAAAGATCTTGGCCCAAAGAAAAACAGGCACTTTTTAAAGGGGAAATGTTAAGGTCAGCCTCACAGAGGCCTCCACACAGGTTCCTAATCCCACAGACTCAGAAAGCTAGGTGGGAGGCGGAGTCAGGACTTCCACACAGGTGTTCTATTTTAGCTCCACTACTACATGCTGGCACTAAGCAGTCAGCTTGGAGAAACTGCAGACACAACTCGGGAATCCCAGGGTGCTATCATCTCTCCAAACCAAGCAGAGGGAAAGGGAGACACTATTTACTGAATGACTTTCACACCCCATGAATTTTATCTAAATCACAGGTTGGCTAACTACAAATCCAGCCCGTGAGTTGTTTTTGGAAATAAAGTTTTACTGGCACACAGTCATGCTCCCGGGTAAGCACCACAACACACACTATGCAGCCTGCAAAGCCAGAAGTGCAAACTACTGAGTCCCCTCCTACATGTCCTAAGTAATCTTTTTAATCCTTATAACCACTGATTTTACAGGTAAGCAGTCAAGGTGCAAATTGTATTTGTTTCTCGCCCATGGCCTCAAATCGAAGAAGAAAACAACCTTTGTCCAACTCCAAAACTTTTCCCATAGAAACCACGCCTGGAGTTTTCCCTCAAGCCTCCACTATGTGACCACTGGTCAGCATTCTCACTACCTGATGTGCTGCCCAGTTCTCCACCTGACTAGGACACCCTCACACCCCACTGCCTGTTTCCATGCCCCCATCCCTGCCCTGTCTCACTAACACCCCAGGCCACACGAATTCTGCACATGTCTCATGAGGCTTCGGGTGGCTGCTCACAGTTTTTCTTCTTTTGTAACACATACAAGTGGCTTACCTTCCAAGCCAGGCTGTGACACCTTCATGGGTCAGTGTCCTAAAGAACCAAGTGTGACCCCACTATTCCACAGTCCAGGACTGTGTTGATGGAGTTAGTCACAAATGAGCCACAGACACCAACATACAGTGACTTCAAATGGTGACTGGACAGACACTGCATTCAAAATCAGGGCAAATGGCTGGTGATTACTTAATTGTTTAGTGGCCACATGGAGAAAGGCAGAGGGAAATCAAGGATTACTCCATCATTAAAGTGTGTGAGACACCAGCCTGGCTCATGTATCACACAAAGGATCTAGCATCTGCAACAAGGGCAGGTTCCTCAGGTGCCCTGCCCCAGGCATCAGGGCTGAAATGTCCTCACTACATTTCCTTTTTCACACACAAAGTTCAGTTATTTTTAACTGTGGGGCTACTTCAGCATCTGGTAGACAGAGGTCCATCAGATTATTTATGCCAAAGTTACTACAAGTTTATATAAATAGGGGGATCTTGTGTTCAACCAATGAGGATCTTGGGAAAATACAGTAAGATAGGTAGGTGGCTAGAGACAGAAGAGTGAAACTGGAAGCCTAGATGGCCGAGAGAAGGAAGCAAGATGGGTTAAAGAAGGTTCTAGGAAAGACCAATGCTGGCCAGCTTT